GTTTTTTTTAAAAAATTAACATTACCTTGAAAATTTGTTTTCCTTTTTTCACCGGAAAAGTCGCGTCTTATCGAAAGAATATAGGGAATCCCTTTTTTGGAAGTCTGTAGGTATTCTGAATTGAGGATAATGATGGTGAGGCTCCTATTAATGTGATTTGACATAAGATAGACGCTCCAAACCTTTTGTTGTGCGTCTATTCTAGAAATTATTTTTTCGTTGCCCCCCCCCCCTCCAATTGGGAAATATTCTACAAAGTAAAAAAAAATTAAAACAGCTTTGTAAAAAATGCAAATACCGCAGCAACATTTTGAAAGTTTAGAGTCACTGACATTTAAAACCGAGAAAGTTGGAAAGGCACTTACAGGAAGAAATCTGCAATTTTAATCTCTTGTGTAATGGAGATTTTGGCCTCAGAAACCTTGAAAGAGAACGTTTAGGGCTGAAATAACCGAAAAAAATATGACTCTTCCCTACAGAAAAAGTGGAAGCTCTCAATATTTACTTCATAGCCCGTGATTCTCTTTTCGGGACACCCGGTGAGTTCTTTTTTCTCGAGAGCTCATCGAAAGACCAATTATGCTAATGCCTGTTCGGACGAAATTCAGCTTCTATCTGTTTTCGATGGGAATTGAAATATAACTCTCAGCCTGCTCGATTGCCGTGCATTCAATTTTCAACCAACGTTGCCTACTTCACCAATAAAACGAACGTTTACCATAGACTATTTGAAAGAACGAAAGGTTTTGCGTAACGAACTGGCGCCCCGGTGGTCAAGCTTTGCCGAGTAATAGTCTAATCGTCCGGTGGAAGTGTTGGTTTGGTTCTTTTTTTGTTTTTTATCTCCTCTATTTTTTTGTATTTTTTGTCGGGCAAAGCGTGTATTTTGCCGGCCGGCCGTGCCTCAGATGGGACGAGGAATTTTTATCTGATGCACACCGCTAATTTATGGACCTAGGTTGCGCCCGGGTGCTTAGACTTTGGCAGCCCGCTAAGCAGATCCGTCGATGAACGCACGCGCGCGTGGCTTTTTCGAAAATTTATTTTCCCGATTTTGATTCATGAGGCACCTCCCACTGGCGTTCTCACATTTCAGACTGATTTATTGCCCAAGTCTCAGGATGCAACTCGTGAAATTTCTGCTGAAGGGGATTTTGTTTCGACGGAAGCTGAAGGTTTATCCATTTCGTCGAATTAATTGTGAGAATTCATAATGATTCATGTGCATAAGGTTCGTCTGGCAAATTTTAATTTAATGCTCGCTTCAGCACGATTCATTGCCCTCTGACAAACTTCATTCGAGGAAAATGATTTTCCTGACTTTTTCACACTGGAAAAAAATTACATTGGATCTCCAGTCCAGACTCTTGAAAACATTGACAAGAAAAAATACTCTTGATTCAATCGGATTTCTGCTTGAATCAAAACGAAATCCGCTTAAATTAAGAGGCCTTGGTTCTAGATTTAAGCTATAGATTCTGATTGAATCATGAGTACTCTTTCTTGTCGATGTTTTTAAGAGTCTGGACTCTAGATCCGATGTGTTTTTTTTCCAGTGCACGAATATTCTCCTTTAGTTAACTGTGCGCTTATTGTTACGAGAAAATTTCGTTGGAATTTTGCGAGCCCTCCTCGTAATTAAGTTTTCCGTATTCTTAAAGTGTCCGACACAAAATTTTTATAAATTAAATTTTCGTCTGGAAATGTATTGTCCTTCGAGCTCATGGAAAGAAAAGCTTCTAGTAAGGGACCTGAAGTTTAGGTTATACGAATCTCGGAAGTTTAGGTTATACGAATCTCGGAAGTTTTCGAAAACTTAAGGCCCAGCTGCTGAAGTTCGGGTCACACATGTGAAGTACTTCGCTAGTACGGTTGACTACATAGAATTATCAACCGAAGTACTTCAGATGTGTGATCCAATCTCCGCGCAGCTGGGCTCAAGTTTTCGGATGGGCGATCTGAAAAACTATAGAGATCCACTTGACCTGAACTTCAGGTCCCATGCACGAGAAATTTTCTTCTGTATGCAACTTAGTGTTATTTGTGCTCGAAGAATTTCTATTTTTCGACGGAGAGGGCGTCCAGCCAAACGGTGGGTAGAGGGCATCCATGAAGAGATGGAGGGATGCCAGCTTCCGGAGGATCTCTACCATGACAGATTCCTGTGGAGAGTAGGCGTCGCAGAGCGCCCTAGCGCGCCGTAAAAGCGGCTTATACATACATACATTTCTATTTTTCAAGTTGAGCCCTTCGAAACAAAGACATTGAGTTGCCTCTCGGTCCATCGACCTTCGTCCCATTCCCATTCCAGATGCATCATTTCTCCGAGGCATCTTGTAGATGAAGATACGACTGCGTTATATCGGTCCAGTTGGCGCACCGCAATCGGAAACAGATCCGATGTTTTTGTTTTCGATGTCTCATCTCGCCTCGCCGGTCCGTGGGTATACATTTAATTGGGTGACAAGCGGTTGGCTGCTTGTTTCTCACCCACGGCTGCATGCCTTCGCGGAAAAACTCGCCTCTTTCACATGCAAGTGCGGAGCTCCGCGCTGCCGATGTGACAATCGCGTACGTCACTGATCGGCTAGTGTCAATGCTTAAACTGCCGTGAAGCAGCGTCGCCAGACTTGCGATTCCGGAGATGAAAAAACTCGAAGACTGCACTATTGGCTCTCCCCAGTGTGAAAGTTCAACACTCATCAACTCTTGATGAGTGATGTTTTGAGCAAACTGCGATTCAAACAAGACCCAGTTTCACAAGTCATAACGACACTGGAAAAAAACGCATTGGATCTAGAGTCCAGACTATTGAAAACATTGACAAGAAAAAATACTCTTGTTTCAATCAGATTTTTGCTTGGATCAAAACGAAATCCGCTCAAATTAGGAGGCTTGGTTCTTGATTTAAGCTAAAATCCGATTGAATCAAGAGTTTTTTGTCTTGTGGCTGTTTTTAAGAGTCCGGACTCTAGATCCAATGCGTTTTTTTTTTCCAGTGTGACAAAGAAGTCGGTTAGCGTATATTAATTTAGGCTAGCATAAATGCTGCTCTTTTTTTAACGATGTTATTATATTTGGAACATGCTTCTGCGGTAATCTCTTAAAAAAACGGGCTTTTAAATTGTATTAAAACGCAAAAAACCAATGGACCATTGTACCAATCAGCAAATGGACTGACTTAAAGAGCCGTGTTGGTCGCACAGATCTGTTTTCAAAAGCACCGAAAGAGATATGTGATAAAAAGCGATTGAGCATCCTCTAAGAAGCATTTCTCCAAAATCTACAAATTTATCTACCTCGCTGCGACTTCAATTATTAAAAGGAAGGGCTCTAAAAAATTAACCTGACCGCAGTACAATAAAATGCACGCAAGTTTACTGAGGTTCAGTCTGGGTGTAGATACATAGTCGTTTCGAGTACGCATGATTTTGGACGATTCAGAAAGAGCCATAGTTTCTCTTTTTTGTCGTGTGAATACTCAAGTTCGTTTATTGTCACTCTGCCTGAACTGTTTGAAAAACGAGCATTCCAACCAATAATAAAACAAAAATCATGTGCTATCGACACCAATTCATCCGAATCTGGCAACGCGATACGCAGGATAGCCGAAGTGGCGGGTGATATGTGCGCCGCACCGGCCGGCCGGCCGTCACACGTCAGGTCAATGACATCCACCGGCTTGAGCAACAACCGCANTATGGAAAAGTATCGATAGACAGGGTGTTCGCAGCGAACACCTTAATAATCGATTCTTTACCTTAGGTTTAAATGGCTGAGCAATCGATACATCGCAATTCACGCCACGCCACTGATCGTTTAAAACTATGGGATAGGATCGATATGGGTGTTCGCAACGAACGCCATAATGATCGATACTTTACCACAGCTTCAGAGGTGGCAATATAGATTATCGAGTTTTCACGCCTCGCTACTAGTGATAACTTCTCGTCGGAAACCGTTTTTGAGCCCCCAAGGCCCCAAGGCGCGAATCGAGAACCAAAATGTGCACCGGCGCACCCTGATCCCTGTTTTTTTTCCAGCAAATCTGAGCAAATTCTCCATTCATAGTATGTATTAGGTACATCGCACTAAGAGTGCCATCACTCACGACGTGATTTCAGAATAAAATACGCCTAGGTTCAATGGAGATGTTGCATGTGTGAGGAATTTGCGATTTGACCATTGATACTTATGTGAAAGTTCGCGAGAAACACGATGGTGCCACTGGTTTTCTCTGAAATCAACTCCCAAGCTCAATAAAAGCTCTCAAGATGAGGCCAAAATGGAGGGGATATCCCACGCTATCCGGAGAGTCCACTTCTACATCAAGAAAAACTCTCCATGCAAAGATAGGGAGCAAATACATTAGCAGGGTTGCCGTGTTTTCAGTTTTGGAGTCCCCAAATAAAGTGGCAGCCCTGTCAATGAATTTTCTCCCTATCTTTGCATGGAGAGTTTGTCTTGATGTAGAGGTGGACTCTCAGGGTAGGGTGGGATATCCCCTCCATTTTGGCCTCAACTTGAGAGCTGTTTTTGAGCTTGGGAGATGATTTCAGAGGAAACCAGTGGCACCATCTTGTTTCTCGCGAACTTTTACATAAGAATCAATATAGTCAAATTGCAAATCCCTTACACATGCAACATCTCTATTGGCTTTAATCCAACCATTGGTCCATTGCACTCAGATACCATTCCCATAAAACAAAAAATCAACACATCCAGTAAAATGCAGGGATACCCCGCAACCTGGCATCCGCGGCGATTAGGCCGGGCTCTCTTGAAGCACTGTGGAGTATGACGATCTTATCATAATATCTCCGTCCACGGAAGCCAAAAAGCGGTAGCATCTCCTGCTGCAGCACTATCACGCTTTATCGATCAAACCTGCATTCTACAATAACCGCGACCCCCTCCAGAGGTCGTTCCCGGTGTCGTTAGGAAAGATCACTGTTTTTAGATGGTATCTTAATCGTGGCTTCATGTCTCTCGTGTTTCAGGTGCAAAGACTGACTCAATACGAAGAGTACCTGACAAACCTGCTCGATGATCCCCGAACAGATCATGACGATACCACCACCGTCAGGACCCGCGTCAACCAGGTAAGACCCTCCCTCCTCTTCGTACCAAAGCCTTGTTCCTGGGTTCATGTTTTGAAGTTATAATACGAAAGCTCATCCTAGGACGGTCGACTCGGGGGGTTGTGACATCCGTCACTTCGGAGACTTTAATGCGGGATAGAAAAGAAGTGTATAAAGATGATAATCAGCCGAGGCGATGGTGCGTGCCGGCATTTTGCAGATGACTCTCATGTGAAGTGTTATCATTAAGGAGAGATTGGTAACATTAGTGGATCGTATTCGATAGTGGTTCGATGTATAGTTTGGCTCAAAACAATGCCATATAAACTCAAAAAATGTTGGGATGAAAGTTAGGAAAGCTGGAAAAGAGGAAATTTCTAACAGTTTTCGCTTTGCATTGCCATGTTGTACGCATCAGAATCAAATATCAATCACGAAAACTCGTCCTCACGGATTACTCCATCGAATTTTGAGGATATGCATGCTTACATGTTGAACCAGTCAATATCGATACAATCGCAGCGATAGAACGACTTTTTGCGGTATCGAATACGACTCAGTAGTCGAGAGACTTTAACGCATGTATAGAAAGGTAGAGTCGAGAATTGATAACTAGCCATGGTAATATTATGGGTCTCTACCACATGAGAACACTCTCGTATGACTTAATATTACCATGGCGTATCATTAACTTGAGTTTTTTGGTAATTTTAGTGCCTTCGGAGACTTAACGCAACTCAAAAAGGTGTCAAGTCAGTAACTGTATAATGCCGAATCCTTCCATAACGTACCATTAACATGCCTGATCACCATCTCAGAGACTTTAACGGCTGATTGTGAGTTCGGTTAAATCCGTCCATTTAAAAATATCAATAGGAGCTCCGAGGAAACTCTGTTTCTAGAAATACTCGAATATTTTATGATGGCTAATTACAGCGCCGTAATTTTACTCAGCGTTTTTACAAAATTCGCAACTCTAGTTCGCGAGGGATTGGAATTTTCAAGAGCAGGAATATTACGCTGTTATGTCCCAACGATGCTAAATCCTATTAAAATGTAGAGTGCTTTTCTTCCACGATAATCTCCGATTAAAGCACCTGAGTCGCACGCATCCGAGAGGAGCACATAATATTTCATCACAAGTCCACCAAAACATCCCGGAGTCCTTCACGTCACTTTCTACCTGCGAAGTCCTCAAAACCCAGCGCAGCTGGAACAACCCACCCGCGGGGGGGCTGTGACAAAACCCATCCTCAAGTGGCTCGAGAGGAGCAATAGATCGCATCGATATTCGATACATCGAAAGGAATAACCTTTGGTATTCATCAGCAATCGATGTGCGATACATCGCATGGGTACCTCGCTTGGAGTCCGCAAATAAATCAGATCGCATCGATATTCGATACATCGAAAGGAATTACCTTTGGTATCCATCGACAATCGATGTGCGATATATCGCATGGATATCTCGCTTGGAGTCCGCAAATAAATCGATTATCTGACCACGCGGGCGCTCCCGAGGAATGCCGATTTAATCGTCCGGCGCGCGATCATGATCATAACAATTTTATCATTTCTGCGTTCATCTCACTTTCGGCCGGACAACAATGGCCTACACTGCCATGGTAAGGAAGAACGCCGTAAGAGCCTCTAGGCGTTGCCAAATTTCCTTTAGCAAATCACACATTTTTGGGGAAATTTGTAAATATTTTTTTCCCCAATTTTTCAGATAATTTTGTTCGCAATTTGATCGAAACTATCTAAAAATTTCAAGGAGAAATATGAATAATTTTGCTTAAAAATGAGCATTTTATCGAAGGAAATTTGGCAACTCTCGAATGTTCATACGGCGTTCTTCCTTAGCACGGCAGAATGGCCTACAACGGTTGACAATGCCCCGAGAAACCGCGTATCTTCATTATTTTTTTTATGGGAGTTGCGGGGTTTTTGAGTTACGTCGAGTGACAATGGCCTCCTCTTGACTCTCGACCCGAGATGAGTCGAGGACAAACCAGGTGAAAAGACAAACTTTATTTACGGGGCACCTGATTTACGGTCGGGATCGGCCCCGGGTTATCGGTTGACCTTTGCGTTTGCGATCGGTGTTATGAGATGTTCGATGTCGGGATGATCGCCTCGCTACCGGGCAAATACCTTTGCCGCGGTGCCTTGACTTCAAATTTCGCTGCGTCAACCTTGCCGCACCTGTTGCCTTTGCCGTTGCGCAGAATATATTAGTTTCATTCCAGGAATGCGTACGAAACACCACGCAGATAAATAGCTAACAATGTTTTTTTTTGTTTTTAAAAGAAAATTTTTTTTTGTTTGACTTCAGAAATATTTTTGCTCTCCTTCTTTGACTAAACAAAATTTTTTCTTGAGTGAAAGGCTTCCATCTTAAATTTCCAATTGAATCAGTGAGAACGAAAACACACCAACTCGGTGACTCGAAAATGTTCAATTTTCATCAAAGACAGTCAATTTTCATTAATGTCATTGAAGTTAGCGCATCTGTTCCAACTTGGACTTTTAAAGTGTCCTCAAGTATCCATCTTTCGCCACCAAAAATATTTTTCTTAAACTAACTTCTTCACCTAATGTGCAGTTTTTTGTGTGTCTTGATTATTTTCATTTTTTCGAGTTGGTGTGTTTTCGTTCTCACTGCTTCAATTAATTATTTTGTTTTTAAATATAATGCAATTGTTTCATCTGTGACAAATTTTATTTCCTTTGAATCTAGAAAAGCTTCTTTTGAATTGAGAAAGATTTTTCCCAAAGGAAAAAAAATAATCAAGAGAAATTTTTATCTGGTTAAAAAAATGCAGTCAAAATATTTTTCTTCAAATCAAAGACAAAGCTTTCAAGACGTATCCCTAAAACATTCTATGAAGCCTGATTTTTTCCCTCTACTCCAAGATATTTCGTCTCTTCTTTGGCATAAGGGCGTGTCTCAATATCCACGTGAACCTTGTGCTCCTTTTAACTCTATGCTTTTCAGGGCTCATGTGGAAATGGAGTTAGGCCCTTTCACTAGAGGAGCGACGACGGTTCAAGGAGTGGTTTTCTGCAACAGAATCTCTGAGCAGCCCAACACGGAATGTACTGCGCAATTTAGAAGCGAAGTTTGTTTTGTGCGGAACAAACTGCTCTCTTGTCGGACATCGCCTGGACCGTGAGCACGAGATGTTAAAATTCTCACCATCGTCATGAGTCAATACGACCCTTTCGTAGTCAAATATTGACAAATGTAAAATAAATTCATGTAAAAATTTCTACGTTATAAAATTTTCAATTTCATATTCTACTAAACGAAATTTCAATCTTAAGAAGGGAGGAGTTATATTCGGAACATTTATACAGAGGTCCGGCAACACGGACACGAGCCGAAATCGCTCGCGCGCTCGAGTGTCGCAGTACGTTACCTAATTAGGACTTTGACTCTGCGCGATGCACTTATTTGGTCATTCTGCTGAGCCCCGAACTTTTGTCAGCAAGTTCTGTCCCCTCTCTGGCCCAACTTACGCCCATGACGCAAATTGGCCCGGTCATTGTTCATTATAAAAGCTCGGTCACCTGAGCCTAAGTCAATCGTCGTCTCTCGTTCGGAGATCCCCCGTTAGGCCCGGTTCCCTCTGCCATTACTTGTGTGTCTCTACCCCATTTAATGTGTTAGTTGTATTATTCTTGTGATTTTAATAAACTCTTTGTATTCGTTACATCGATCTTATTAATTTGATCCGAGCATTATTGCTCTGGCGCAGTTGCCACACTGCTATTAAATTATCCCAAACTTAACTTACATGCCTGGACCATCCGCTCTGGACCGATGGATTGCAGAGAGTTGAAAAGAACATCCATGATATCTGAAATTTCGGAAAATTCTAAATTTTATTCGAACGGAAACGAAGGACTGGGACCGTAGGATAGACAGTATATGTAGAGTAGCCTTCCGGGGGTTCGTATTATTTTGCCTGTGTTGCTGGTGGTTATGTTTAAGCACCGGCCATCTTGGAAATAAAAAGAAAATTCTGAAACAAATCAATCGAGGCAAAAATTCTAGAAAAAGAAGCCAGAATTTGCCAGAATGTTTTTGAAACGATTTTCAGGATAAAATTCATCTAATGATCATAGACAAAAGATTTTGCGATTATATTAACAGATCACGAATTCCGCCACGGAACGGAACCAACTTTCATAACAAATAAAGACGTCTGCCTAAAGAATATTGGTGCCTAATAATAACAACTGTGTTAACGTATACAATGTTCGGGACCTTTTTTGACCTGATTTTTGTGAATGTTAATGAACTTTCGAGAATTGTTTGACTTTTTCTGCAATTTGACACCCCCTTCCTTGCCTCGCCGAAGCAGATTTTGCCTTTCCTAAAGTTTTACCGGACCCTCTTCCTCAAGATTTAGTCAGGGTGTTTACAAGTCCGGAATTTCCGGAAAGTCCGGAAATAGTACTGAATTTGTAAGGGCGGTCCGGAAGTACTGAAAAAGAGCGAAAATTCCACAAGTAGGTCCGGAATTTTTTCATTTTTTGTCATTTTTGTCGCAGTTAGAGAAATTCAAATTTTTGAAAATTTTAGAATTTTGCCAAATGGAGGTACTGAAAAAGTACTGAATTTTTCTGTTAAGAAGGTACTGAATTTCTTAGAAATGTACTGAGACAGTACTGTAAAAGTACTGATTTTTGGCCAGCCTATTTTTGTAGACACCTTGTTAGCAAAAATGACCCCCCTCAGATTGCTCAGAGTAAGCATTCGTGAAAAAGTATAATTAGAAGAAGACTTCAATGTCGCTTTGCGGTTGACTATGATTCATACGGAGAATCCTGTCAATCGATTTCCGAGAGAAGCCCATTGTTTCCACACAAAAACTCTGCTTCCTCTTGCTAAACGCAAGCATTGCAACTGCATCGGAGCTGGCAACCCGGGGCCGGTGCACGGCCGCGAAAACAATAGCGCGCATTATGCAAACGGATCCGAAATTATGCGGCGAGAAATCGCGGGAGGGCGG